TCTCGTTAGTTGCACCAGACATTTCCGGTAGGATTGGAACATACCTGACTTGTTTCACTTTCTGTACCTGACTTTCCTCTGGTTGATCCTCCTCCCACTGGCAATTCTGGATTTGATTGAGATGACGTTTCCATATTTTTCTTTGATCTGTTTTGCATAAGAACGTTGATTTTCCTATCTTCTTCTCCACCACTGCTTTAGTCCACTGTGTCTTGTTTGGGATAGTGTAATCTTTTACCATTACCTTGTCCCCTATTAATAGTTGTCGCTCCTTTCCTCCATAATATTTTGTTTGTTTGTCTTGAGCTTTCTTTATGTTTTTCTGTGTCTCATTTATTGGTATAACTTCTCTTGGTTTTTCTTTAATTAATGAAATTCTTGTTCTGAGCTCTCGTCCAAACATAAGTTTTGCTGGTGTTGCTCTTGTAGTTGCATGTTCTGTTGTCCTATATGTTAACATTATTCTGGATATTATGGTGGAAATCGCTATGTTTTGATTTATTGGATCCTTCAAATGTGTGTTAAGTTTGTTTTTAAAGAGCTTGACAGCATTTTCTGCTGCTCCATTACTCTGTTGGTGTCCTGGAGGTGAGGTTAAATGTTTAATTCCATTCAGTTTGAAAAATGTTTGCATTTTCTCTGATGTGAATGCAGAACCATTATCACTGACCAATGTGTGGGGAATTCCTAGTCTTGAAAATACTTCTCTGAACTTTTCTATTGTCTCTTCAGTAGATAATTTATTTACAGGAAAAACTTCTATCCATTTTGAATAAGCATCAATTAAAATAAGGAACATTTTATTGCTTACAGGTCCTAGATGGTCCACATGAACTCGATTCCATGGTTTATCTTCTACTGGCCATGGTGTTAATGTTGTTTTCGGTGGTGATTGTCTAGTAGATAGACATGGAATACATTTTGCTGTTATTTCTTCAATTTCCTTATCCATAGTTTCCCAATACATCAAGGATCTTGCAGTTGATTTCATTTTTACTGTTCCAAAATGTCCTTCATGAAGTTGTTCCAGTAATTGATTCCTTAAACCCTTAGGTATGACTATTCTTACTCCTAACATTAAAATACCCTCTTCTACAAATAGTTCATTTCTTCTGCGATAATATGGTTTAATTGATTCTTCTAAGTTTTCAGCCCATTTTTCTTGTTTAACATATTTAATAACTTCTTGTAATTGATTATCTTCCTTAGTAGCTTGGGCAATGTCTTTGTTATTAATAGGCCAGTTATCTAGTTTGTTAGTAAAATTCAAGAAACTTACATTTTCTTCTAGTTGAGTTTCTGTTTTGCTAGGATGTCTAGAAAAGTAGTCAGCCACTGTATTCTGTACTCCCTTAATATGTTCGATGTGGTAGTCAAATCCTGATAGAAATGCTGCCCATCTTTGGATGCGGTTTTCATACATTTTTGGTATACCTTTGTGTTCTCCAAACAGGGTGATGAGTGGTTTGTGGTCTGTCCTCAAAGTGAAACGTCTTCCACCCAGATATTGGTAGAATTTACAAACTCCAAAATAAATTGCTGCTGCTTCCTTATGGATGGTACTATATACTGTTTCAGCTTTTGTTAATCTCCTAGAAACAAAACTTATTGGTTTCTCTGTTCCATCAAGCATTTTATGTGACAATACTGCTGCAATACCAAAATCCGAGCTATCAGTAGTTAGATATAGAGGTAATTTTGGATCAAAATGTGTTAACACCAAATCTGACATCAAAATTTCTTTAATTTTGCTAAAAGCGCTCTCACATTCATGATTCCATTGGAAAATAGTATCCATTTTCAACAGGTCATGTATTGGTTTTAAAATTGTTGAGACATTTGGTATAAATTTTGAATAAAAGTTTATCATACCCAACAAACTTCTTACTTCTGTGATAGTTGTTGGCCTTTCAGCTTCACATATAGCTTTGATCTTATCTTCTGCTTTATGAAGTCCTTGTTTACTAATTTTATGCCCTAAGTATTTAATATCATCTTTGAAAAACTCACATTTATCTTTTCGTAATGTCAAACCTGCTTCTTTCAACTTTTGCAATACTATATTTAATGTTTTCAAATGTGACTCTGTATTTGGTCCAGTGATCAATATATCATCAAGATAATTCACTACATTATCTATTCCTTGAAATAACTGTTCCACATATTTTTGACATTTACTACTACCAGGAGTTACTCCATATGGCATTCGATTTATAGTAAACAGTCCTCGATGAGTGCTCCAAGTTAAAATTTTTTTAGTATCTTCATCTAGTTCAAACTGATTATATGCCTGACTAAGATCTAGTTTAGAGAATTTCTCACCGTTGTGCAGTTTTGCAAAGATTTCTTCCATCAATGGTGGTGGGTGGTGCTCGTCCATCAACCATCTGTTCACTGTTGATTTATAATCTCCACATAACCTGATCCTCCCATCAGCTTTGATCACAGGGACTAAAGGTGTGGCCCATTCGCTCATTTCGACAGGTGATAGGATGCCATCCTTCACCATGTTATCTATGGAAACGTCCATCTCCTTCCTGTATGCCATTGGGACGGGCCTAGGTTTAAGAAATATAGGGTTAGCTCCTTCTTTAAGTTTAAGTGAAACTTTTAAATATTTAAATTTGCCAAGTTTGCCTGAAAACACATCAGCATAACTTTCCATTATACTATCAATTTCATCTTCTACTTTTATATTGTTAACCATTCTATATTGAATGTTGAATTTCTCGAGCCAATCTCTACCTAAAATATTTGTTGCACCATTTTCAATAACATAAAATTTTACATCTTTACAAACATTTAAATATGTGACATTTACAACAAAATAACCAACAGGAGCAAAGAGTCCACCATTATAAGATTTTAAAATACAGTTATCTTTCCTTAAAACATAATTTTGCTTGAAATATTTTTCAAACATATCAACATTAACTCCAGAAATCTGGGATCCTGAGTCAATCATGAAACTAAAGTTTCTGTTGTCTATTTTTATTATAATTCTGAATGCATTTTCGTCCGATTTTGTTTCTTCGTTTTCAATACTAAAAAGATTGGTTAACTGTCCTTCATTTTCGTGGAACTCTGTCTCATCTACACATAAAAAGTTGTCTACATACCCCTCTGTTTCTTTGTTTACAAAGTTACAATTTCTATTTTTATTGCAAACCCTTGCTAGATGTCCCTTTTTTCCACAATTGCCGCATTCATATCCCTTGTATTTGCACGGTTGTCGATGGTTGGCTCCACAGTGAGTACAACTCGCAGAGTACCTTTGATGTTTGGCCCCCATGGTTGATTTAGACCATGAAGCACCGCCATCTTGATATCCTTGTCCATGCGTAGTTGTCCGTGATGACGTCGCTGACGTAGCTGTCATTTGTCGCTGCGTGCTTCTCCCTCTTCTGCTCATCGACTTTGACGTTCTGGAATATGGCTGCCTTTTCATGAAATTTATACCAGTGGCGGCGTTTGATTCTCCATCTCTGTCTTCCCGCTGCAACGCCAATTTGACCATTTCTTCTAAGCTCCTTTTTGTATCTTCTTCGCAGAGCCTTTCCAACACTGATCCTTTTCCTAGACCACAGACGAACTTGTCTTTCAAAATGTCTATCAGCGTGGCACCGAAGTCACAATTTATTGATAGACTTCTCACTCTTGCGTAATACTGAGCTATGGTCTCACCGGTTTCTTGTTTGCATTCGTAGAACTTTCTTCTTTCTCTCCATACATTTACTTGTGGTCCATATTGCTTATTTAAAATGCCGATCAACTCTACGTAGGTTTTCGTCTTCGGCAAACTCGGATGGCACAAATTGCGTAACATTTTATACGTGGGAACACCTACTATACTCAACAGAGTTGCAACTTTAATGCTTTCGTCATTAATCGCGCCCGCCATGAAGAATTGCTCTAGCCTTTCACTATAAATTGTCCAGTCGTCACTTTGTTCATTAAATTCCGCGAATCTTGGAACCGCCATTTTCCCGGTTTTGCACGTGGTTACTTTTTCGATTTCGATCACTTCCAAATCACTCGTCGCCAGTTGTTATGTCTATCAATAGGAAGACCGATAGGTTTCGATAATCGTCTTTATTTCTATCATGTATAATATCACAGATATAACTATAGGCAGAGGTACAATTATTACAAGATGGCGCGTTGGCGCGTACAGCGGAATATCCTCGCTGTGTTCGCTATGACGGGGTGATGTAGACTGCTCGTCTCGTCGTCTTCTCCAGCCCGGGTTGTCATGTGTCATGTGACCATCATGTGACTTCCGGTCTGGTCCTGGTGAGGAGTATGTTCCATTGGTGTGTTCTGTACATCACAGTCCTCGATGCCTATGATTTGGTAAGGAATGATTATTTTATAGACTCAATAGAGAATGATTCGAGACCCAAAAGCAGCTGTGCAGTGCATTTACATCGCATCATCGCAAACAAAAGCAGTTGAGGAATTTCGATATTCCGTACCCAAAAAGGGGGGAATCGTGTGCCACTGAACGATCGGGAAAGTTCGGAAATTCTGGCAGCCAGCTTTGGCAGCCCACTTCACGTAGGTCAAATTCAGTCTTCTTCTCTGCAAATCTCCAGTTCTAATGGCTTATGGCTTTTGTATTTCTGTCTGACTACCGCTCGGTTGTACTAGATCAAAGTACTCAATAGCAAAGAAGCATAATTGCATAGGACTGAAAGGACGGAGGAGTGTAGTAATGACAAGAATTAATTTCTACCATAGGCACGTACGAATCAATCAATGCAGGTCATCTAATGGCGGTAAATTCAAATCACCGAATAAGTTTTTGTTTGAAATGTTCATGATGCCTTCTGAGCTGTCATTGAGAATAAAGTGAACACTACCCATCTTCATGTAATTCTTGTTATAAGCACTGGCATTGATTATTGCAAATGTATAACAAGCTATTTTCTCACTGGATTTGTTTTTTCAATCAGTATTATGTATTATTGGTAGGCGGTAGGAAATTAAAGCAATAATTAGATTGTAGAAAATAGTAAATCAATTTATTCTTATATATTAGCATTACATAAAATAAATACAAAAATTTGAGGAAAACTACTCTTTATAAAACTTGACTGATTACAAAAAATGTAATCTTAAATATTGCTATGTGTATACTCAAGTATAAAGTATCAATATATTAATTCATATATATTTTATTCATAAACTTACAGTGTGATTCAAAGAGTACAGTATTGCAAACAGTACGGTTGAACAAAAAAAAAACGATAATTGTTAAGGATTGTAGTACCTTCTGAATCACCCTGTATACAAAATTTATTAAACTCCTATCAGTAATAACACAAAACTGCTTTTATTTGAGAAGCACTCCTATCTCAAAAATATATACTAGATTTATTTAAAAAATGGGTTTGTGGAGGGAATATTTCACAAATTGAAAATATATATTGACATCTCTTGTATATAAAAAAGGCATTTCTTGGTTTCATAGCAAAATATATATTATTACAGCATAGAGAGAAAACTTGTTTGAGCACTTTTATCCACAATTATTGGTCCATGTTTAGCACTTATCTACAGAGAAACCAACACAACTTGTAGACCAATCAAAATATTTTCATCAATTTCGTTGTCAATTTGCCCACAGATTGTGTCTTACAAGATACATTATTAAAATAAATAAACGTACAACTAAAATGACACTTTTAAAGATATTACTATCACTTATAGTAATATATGATTTTTGGTTTGGGTTCGGTCGGACTAAACATGGTAATGGTTGGACCAATTATACTAAATCCCAGACTCCTGCTGTTCAAATTTTACTACAGTCCAACATTTGTTTTCAGCTAAGCAATCATTAAGTATTATCATTCCTAAAATAACAAATTTCGTAAATATGAGGCTCAACACAGGATAGAGAAGATGCTGTCGTCTTTATGTAATTCAATATCCAATCATAAACCCCTTTAGAACAAAAAAAAACTAGGAAATAGATGGCGATTTGTTGAGAACACTTGAGTTACTTGAAAATTCGAGAAGAATATCATACAATATCTGTGTATCTTTTATGCAAAAATGTGTATAATCTTTGGAGCAAAATTTCCACACAGCAGATATTGCTTAAAAGTCCCAGGATTTCAAAGTAACTGTCAAAGCATCCATTCTTAGTTTATTTCATTATCATAGTATCACAATTGTTTAGTGGCAAAAAAATTCAATTTATAATAGCACATTATCTGCCTCCATCAATGGAGTCGTTTTTTCCACTCATTAGCACTTTTGATATCATAGATTACTGGACTGGAGAACTTCTACATGCCACAAAAATGGCCTTCCGGAATCAGACGTTATTGAGGAAAATTATAATCCAGAACCATAGGTAACTGATTCCTTAGATAAGAATCTTGATTTTGACTGAAAATATCTTGGAGTTTCTGTAAAAAGAATCAAAATAAACAGTTGTGGTTGTGAGATAGGACTACACACAGGAACACACATAAAAACTAAAAATACTACAAATAACTTTGATGATAAGAAGTTATGTTAGGTACCACATTTTCCTATAATAGGCCTTTTCATCTAGATATATTTTTAAGACGCATGCGCTCGTTTTTAGATCCAACAATTTATTGGGAAATGCGAAGGTGAAGTCTCATTGGCTATAAGTATTATTGACGTTCTGTCAAATGTCAACAGTGTCAACCACCATGAGCATTCGTCATTGAGAAACAACAATAACAACATAGTATTCTTGTTTTTATATTCCTGGTGTTTGTTAATTCATTAATTGTATTATAATAATTTAATTCCAAAAAACGTTACTTGTTCCTTACTGAGTGGCAGTGTGGTGTAAGTGTTTCGGTGAAAATGGCCGCCACTGTCGTTGGATGCTAGATGTAAACAGAGATAGTCATTTATTGTCATCTAAATGAAAAGACCTATTTCTTATAACTTTTGTTTTATAGCCATTGTTTTGAAGTTGCAATCTCGATTCTTGTACAGAATAATGTTCTTAATTGGTTGTAAAAATGTTGTAACATGCACAGAATACTAAGCAGATTTTAAGGTTTCTGTGAGGTTTTGGAAATATTTTGAAAATCTTCAAAAATGTGGCACCTTTTTTGACTTCCTCATCCACATAGATTTAAAGCTTCAGTTACTGAAGGTTGAGAAAAAATATATCATTGTATTTTCAACATTTGATCTTATTTATTTATTGTTAGTGAAAACCAACTAGCTGATAATATTTTGTGAAAATTCATCTAAATCATTTATTTTTGGCATTTGGGTATCTTCACTAGTAATCATTAATACCAACTAATGTTGAAAAAATAGAAGCAAGGTACAGAATTGGAAACATGAAATTCCTGCTGATCAGAATCTGATGAGACAAATGAAATAAAAAAAATCTTTCATTTCTCATTCTGAATTAACTGACATATTTCACTTGAACTAAACTGAATCAGTTGATGCATTATACCTAACAATATCATTCAAAAGAACCGATCAGTGCAATAGGTGAGTGGACTAATTTTTTTTTATTTCTTAAATAGAATCATCACTCAAATACCTTTCAATCTCATTTTTTAAGAATTTTTTGGTCGATTTTTAGGTGCTAAAATCATCAATAATGCCACGGTAAATTTCAAACGGTCAGAAAATTTACCGCCAGTAGGGGCAGAACATAGCACTGTTGCCATGTGTTGAAATATGATTGGGAACTTTAGAAATATTAGTTATTTGATAATTCAAAAATTCTCAATTGAGTATTGGTAATATTCCTAATTAACAATAAAAATTCAATTGTCTCAAAATGTTCCCTTATGATTTGTGGTTTATTGCTTATAATACATTTGTGGGCGACTTGTGGGCGTGGTCTTGTCAGTTCTCAGCATTCAGCGCAATGTTGCCAAGTCTCCATCATTCACATGATATTTTATTATGGAAAATAAGAAATATTTGGACATGCTGGTTGCTTGAAAAAGTCAAGAATGAACTAAAACATCATAGTTGTTTTTTCTTGTTGAACCGTTTTGAAAACAATTTGAAATCAAGCATTTTCTTGGGTAAGTTATGACGTCACAAAGTAATACGGTTCATTCCGGTTCAAAAACTTCTAAATGAACGGTTTGAACCTCCAACACAGGTGGAGGAGTGGGAAACGTCAAAGTTCAAGGTTATTAATGTTTTCTAGTTCAGTTTTGGCTGAATATTTTGTCAAGATCAATTGAAAATTCCACTCGTGACTCCATTACAATTGTTTCTTTTTTCACACTTCTCACAGATATTGATTAATTCAAAAAATTATCGATTCCCGGTCGTGAATAAGCAATCATTGATATTGAAATTTCATCACGCCTTGAAAACGTTTCAAAATCAATCTTGAGCACGGTTCAACAAGAAAAAACAACTCATGGGTTCCTGCCTATCATGTTTTATTAAACGACATGACTATAACATCTTTTTGATAGCTTGATTATAATTGGTAACTTGACAACCTTGCTTCATGAGTGGAAATGGAAGATTATCTGACCAATAACAAAACAGCATAAAAACTGACGTCACCATTCACTCGACGTATTGACAATAATTCATTATCAGTCCACTCGCCCATTCTAGTGAAATATTTCAGTTAGTTCAGATGGAAAGAATATCACTCTTTTATAATCATTCGGGAAGAACAAAAATGATAGAAATGTGGTTTAGACAAAATTCTGAAAAGATCAATAGCTTTTTTCCATTCATTCAGTTTCTGAAAATTAATAAATTAAGTGACTGCTGAAACAACATCATCTAAGGAATAGATTGATTTTTTTCCAATACTAGCTTTCTTCATGATAATTGTCTGAATTCAAAAAAAATCCGACTGTAAACGAAATGTTAATTGTGTTGCTATAACCTATAATCTCAAAAGAGCTGAAAGGTCAGGTTAGGTCTGAGGCATGTCTTAATTCATATCCGCATTACAGAATTCGGAAATGCGCCTGTTGGAATCCCTCATTTCTTGGAATATCATGGTATAAATCAACAATCACAATAACATTGAGGTCGAACACTGAACAGCAAACAACACACTAAAAATGACCTAGAGAACGAGACGGAATCCTTCCCGGCAACCTGCTAACGCAGCATCTCTCTATCCACAATCAAAACAAAAGAACCCCAAATACTCAACAGAAAACGTCACACAACACAAAACCCCCCAGCCGCCCTCAAAGACTGACCAGCTTGGGGGGCCCGCAGGCGTCCGGGGACACCAGATCGGCCATACTAACCGGAATGTTCCGCTGCTGGCTGCTGCAGGACGGCACCAGGGGCGTCGAGACAGGCGTCAGCCCCGTCCCGCCGCCCATCAGCGAGTCGAAGTTGAACGTCATGCCGTTAGATGGCGTGGAAATCGGCCCGCCCAGCAAATCGGAGACCGACTTCGGCGCAATGGCGCCCACGTTCAATGTGCAGGGACGATTCGGTTTCGATATCGGCACCGTCGAACTCAACATTATCTTCTTCGGAGAGGGTAACAAGAAGCAGTCGTTCATGTTGTCGAGCATTTCTGTTTTCACTCGGTTGTTGTTGTTGTTGTTGGGGGTGGTGGTAGGGGGGTAGTGGTTGTTGTTGAAGGGTTTGACGTCGGGAGGGCTGCGAGTTTGGAGGCGGCAGTGCGGGGAGGTTTTGTGGGACTCGAGCAGGTATTCCAGTTGTTCTTTGAGCTGTTGGAGTTCGTGGACTTCTTCTTGGAGGCATTGTTTCTTTAGTTCGAGGTCTTCGGTTTCCTGAAAAAAAAAAACGGAGTTGAAAATATGAATATCAACAAGCATATTTCAAAAATTGTTCATTTTTTAGCATTTTGTATATTATACATCGACTAGGGTCCCTTCTCCCGACCACTCACCAAATAATAAGAAATGGAGGAGAATACCATTTCAACCTTCAAGATATTGAGGTTAGAATGGTCTCCATTTCTTCTCATTTTATTGTGTTAGCCACACATTTTTTCTCTCTCAAAACTATCTAAACTCCTCTCTCTCATTCTCCCGACCACTCACCAAAATCAGCGTATTCGTATGATCCACCCTGCGCTTGCGGCACCTCGCCGCCGCCGCCTTGTTTCGCTCCCGCCGCACGCGCCGCCGCTCCTCCTCCTCGGGGCTGCAGTTGAGGTCCTGCGCGGGCTTGCGGCCGCCCATGTTGCGCCGCCCGTGGCCGCCCTTGTGGGGCGACGGCGCCTGCAGGGGCGGCGTCGAGCGGGTGTCGCAGTCCGAGCTCGACTGCGACAGCGTGCCGCCGCCGTGCCAAGAGGGCTGCGGTCGCGGCGAGAAGGAGCCGGCGTCTGCGGCCGAGATGTACTGGTTGTTGCCTGGAACGATAATCCAATATTATTGAATAGTTCCCTAATGGTACCAAGTGTTATGTATGGTTGTTTAATTTTCTAAAATGTTTAGGTTGGTACAGTTGGTAGGGTGGAAACGTAGGCAGCAATGTAAAAATATAAAGAAGGTTAGGTTCTTTTTGTCCACCATTATGTATTAAGATGGATTAAAATGCAGTCGTTGATTATGTGGAGTTATTATTTATTAAAATAAATCCTGACTACATATGTGAGTTTGACAACAGCGTACAGGCACAATTTTGATTATTTGATTTGAATTCTGAACTCTGTTACCGTTACGATGATGAAAAATAGAGAAGAATGGCTGATAACGGAAAAGAGAAAAAAAAGAAGAAGAATAACCAACTTGGCCTTCAAAACTTGTTAACTTGACAACAGCGTACAGGGACCTTAGATCATACAGGACAATTTCAATTATTTTATTTGAATTCTGAAATCTGTAACAGTAACGGTGATGGGAAAAAGAGAATAATGGCTGTGGGTGTGTCCGACCGCGGAGAAGAGGGAAAAAGAAGAATAATCAACTTGACCATCAAAACTTCGAGAATTCAAGACTCAAGACCACACATATGGACCACACTGTGGTCAAGACCACAGGTCAAAATGTAAGACAATCACAAGACCAACAAAAATGAACAGAAGTTTATGCTACAGTTTCTATTACAGTGATGGAAAAAAGGAAAGAACGGTTGTGAGTTGTATGTCCGAAATCGGGAAAGAAGGAAGAAGAAGAATGAGAAGAATAATCAACTTAACCTTGAAAATAGTTGAAGGTTGAAGATGAAGACAAAACAAAACAAGCTGAAAGTTCTACAAATTTCAAATCAGAGTTTCTTTTCTGTATTTCTGTTGTCAGCTAGATCATCAGTTATCATGTTCAATATTATTTGAAGGCGATGGTGAGTTTATAAACTGAACTAGATGATAAATAAAAAAAAATTAACATAAGTACAGGTATACAGATCAGATCAGAACTGATGTAGTTACGGCAAATTTATGAAAAACTTAGATTCATCACTTAACATTAGAAACTTTTCAAATATGGTACCATAATATCTTGTGCTGTTATTCCTGAATATATGTTTTTTTATCTAATAATTATTAGATATAATAATATGGAGAAATGGGGAATCAGGGTATCACTTTTAGAGATATAAATTAATCACAGTTATTAACTCATTTAACTTCTGAAAACCTGGTTTTGTATTGAAATGTATCAAAATCTAATTTTTTTTATAGGTAACAGAATCGACTTATCATGTCTAAAGACTTGATCTTAAATCTCAAGTGTTGAAATGTTGAATGTTTTTATAAAGCCACCCTTACATTTAATAAATTTTCACAATTTTTTTTGATAATTATTGAGTACCTATTGAGTTATTCTTGTTTCATTTCACTTGGGACACTTTGCAAGTATAGATATTTTAGATAATCGATGTTATCAAAACACACAATAATAATTCAGCAAATAACTCGGCAAATAATCTTTCCATTAACATTTTTTACATCACATTCGGAAACAATAAAGGAACAATAGTAATAAATAAAAACCTAAATTACTATGGGAAAATTACAGCTGAGGAATAGCAAACATTGTCGAACAAAGAAATAGTTCCTTCTAAAACGATTATTATCAAGGTCGAATGGCTTTGTTTTACATCTATTGAATACCCATTTTCCCAATAAGGAGTTAGGTACTTATTTTCATTCTTAGTTGAGAAATTCCATGAAAACATACATTCCATGAAAGCCATTCATTCATCCTTTGAACCTTGGGATCTCGAATCTACATCAAAAAACAAATCAACCCAAAGATCTATAATGGCGTGATTTTTGGAAAATTATTTATCATCTAGAAATGAAGGAATAATGATTCGATTTTATTTTTTTTTTTTGAAGCACCCCTTTATCTTTCGTAATCCTTGAGTTAGGAATCTGAAATTTGCAAGAGCGGTAGTAATATTGCATGAGAATACACACTATGACCAAGTAGAGTCGTCTCTCCAGTGATATACACTGCTCTCCAACAGCTATGGAACCACCCACAAAAATGATATAAGGAGGCAAGATAGGTTGAAAATCACTTCGGATTCAAAATCAGGACTTCCCATTCGCTTCCTCCTGCAAATTTCAGAACCCTACCTCAATAATTACGTGAGATACGGGGGTGCTGCTTATTTTTTCAAAACTGAAAATTTTCCAGGAATAATATGTATAGTCAGTGAATTGGACGTCCTGATTTCGAATCCGAAGTGATTCTCATCCTATCTTGGCTCCTAATATCATTTTCCGGAAATTCGAGTGGTTCCATGGCTGTTAGTGAGCAGTGTTCATCACTGGAGATGACTCCACTTGGTCATAGTGTTTATTTTCAGTATATCTCCTGCTCCTGTGAGTTTCAGAATCCTAACTCAACAATTACGAAACATACAGGGATGCTTCTATTAGACGTGAGACACACTGTATAATGTTCATCTTGAGTTAATTCCGATCTTCATATCTCTTCATCTGAAGTTTAAGCTTCAAAATGGGCCTGAGATTTCAAAAATCGGTTGACTAGGTAAAGAGTTATGACTGCATAACCAAAAAGTTAATTTTTCGAGGTCACTCTGTAAATAAGAGAGATAAGGAGACAATTAGAGAACTGTCCCTAGATAATGAGAGCATCTACATATCTCTACTGTCAAAGTTGAAAAAAAAAAGTTTTTCTGCATTTGGGATATTTTTGAAATTTTCGAAATTTTGCACAGTTTCAGGTAACACCCTGTAGCAATTTTATCACGAGATTATAGCTGAAGGACTGGGCTAGCGAACGGTGTGATCCGAATTCAAATAGTTCAAAGCAGAAAAAAGTTATTCATATTTCAACAGAGGCAAAATTTTAGGATGCGACGAAATTAGTGTTTCGTAGTTCAAATTACTATTTTTCAATCCTCGTTTCTCACCTATTGAATGCACTAGAGGTGGTACAAAGCCGGCTTCATTTTCGTGGGGTTCTGGTTTCGATTGAAGTTCGATGAAGGTCTGCTCAATGTTTCGCAAAGTTGTGGGGGTTAGAGTCGGTGTGGTTCGGGTTGGCACTCCTGAATTAAGGCCTTCGAGAGTCAAAAACTGAAAAGAAAAAGAAACGATAAAAATAAATATGCTAAGAAATTAAAGTCAGTATTATGTATATTGTACATAGAGTATATCGTTACTATTATGTTGGTATAGTATTATTTTGAAAGGTGGATAAATAAAAATAAAAAACAAAAGCTAGTTACCCGGCCAGGTCTTACTTGACTTAAAATTAGAATACACGTTATTTTGTATGAGAATTATTCACGTTTATAAATAGATTTATCAAAACTTGTAGGAAATAATGTTTCTAAGTGCTACGAGATATAAATATTTGATGACATTAATATTGCAGATTTCGTGAAATAATTTTCACAGATCTTCGTAAAATTTTGTAGCATAGAAAGAATATAATATTATTGTTAAAATCTGAAGCGAAAATGATTTAATTTTATTGAATAATTTCTGTAGGCTATTGAGAACGAATACAGAATGGTTTGTTGACCAAACCAAAGTTTACAGAATAAAGCAAACACAGATTTTGTCGAAAATATTGACCCTACGAGTGTTGTAACACATATTTAACCAACCTATATCATCGTATCATCGATTTAATTTACTCTTATTTCGTATAATTTTAATGAGGAACAGACAATTCCTATAGACAGGTACCTAGATCACGAGCCATTTAGAATATTTCGGAATTTTAGAAAACTATATTTCATACCGATTACCAATAGGTACATTGAATAGATAAAGTTGATCTATGGTATACAGGGTAGGGTGTATCTAATAACACCGAAAAAATTCAAGGGGTATGTTTCCTTGTGACATTTCCACAAAGAGAATGCCCCAAGATTTCAAAATGATTCTAATTGGGGTTATTTTGTAATCTCAATGGAAGTCTTGAAAACACCTACATTAAAATTGAATTTTTATTGTTTCCTTAAAAACTAAGCTAGATACAAAAATCACACAGAGCATAAAGAAGTTGTTATTACAATAGTTCAATCTGAACCGGTGGTGTACAATGACATTCACCATGAATATCGATAAATGTACCCACTGTGACGCCACTGGAAATATTATTTCGAATCTAATCGCACTAGAAGAAGCTCCATATTACTATTACTATTAACAAAACCACAACGTTTTATTGAAATTGGTGGAAAGACAATTGAGAAATGAATAGAAAAAAGATTTTTCATGGAAATATTAATACCCTGTATCTCGAAAACGAAACAAGCTAGCACAAATGTTTATATGGACTTTATTTCCTAAAATACCAGAAATCACCCTCGGAATCACCCCTTCCGGTGTTATTCAGATACACCCTGTATAGAAGTGGATAATATATCTCAAGGAGTGAATTGGATTTAGACTCAGACACAAGACATCATAGAGAAACGAATAAATAATAATAATATAATATTTTTGGTTTGTCTATGCAAGACATTTATAAAGTAGATAGCTCAGTGTGTCTTGTGTCCGAGATAAAGTTGTTTTTTTTTTCAATCAGGTACCACTCAACCTACCATCTATGTAAAAATAATTGAACTACTTTTATTGGAAAACTATTGGTTCCCAGCTACTCAAAGGATTACTCTGATTGCAAGGTAACAAGTTTTTAATCTAGGCAAATAATGGATAATGAAAAAATGGCTAGGTGGGGGAAAAACTTACAATAAGTATCAAGTATGCATACCTATTGTAGTATGCCCATGCAACTGACTAACACTTTCTATCAAACCAAATATACTATAAAAGGCAACATTCACTATACCGATTAAAACAATTATTGTTATTTAAGGTGGATTCATAAGACATTCATTATAATTGCATTATCACTACATTATAATTATTATGATTAATGAGGCTCAACATGTTAGTAGCTCAATGTAATGTTACGAATTTATGAACACAGTCGTTTTTCTAATACCACAATCCACACTTAGTTTTGAAGGATTGAATAATTCTCATCCACCACCTGGAAATGTCTCTGACGATGAAGCGGAATTTTGTTTTCAATTTGTTTATGTTTGTTTATGGTTTGTTTGACAACAGACAACTGGACTTCCAGGCTACTTGATGAAGCTTTCAAAGTATTTGAAATAGGAGTAAATATCGTTGAATAAATAAACAAGGTGGATGGCATTCCACTTTCTTCAGTGGAATTGAAAAAAAGGAATTAATGAAATGAAAAATGTTGGTACTTCAGTGTCACTAGTGGGAACAAAAGTATGTACCTCGCACATTATTTGGAAAGGCTTGCTATACAGGGTGTACCTAAATAACACAAAAACTCAAGGGGTTTTTCTTTGTGACATTCTAGCAAATAAAGTTCTTATAAATATGTGTCCTAACTTGCTCCATTTTTGAGATACAGGATGTTGAAGTTGGAAGTATTAATTGTTTTTATTCATAGCCCCCCTGTAAAAGCTTTCATGTTGTCTAAATTCAGTATGGATGGAGACTGAGAAAGCCCCAAAATTTCAAAATGGGGTTATTGAGTAATCTCAATGGAAGTCTTGAGAACAGCTATACATTAAAATTTGGAGTCAAATCGAATTTTTATTGTTTCCTCAAAAACTAAGCTGGATTCAAAAATCACACAAGGGATAAGAAAGTTGTTATAACAATAGTTCAATCTAATAAAAATATGAAACTCAGACATTCACCATGTATATCGATAAATTTACCCTCTGTTACGCCACTGGAAATGTTATTTCGATTCTAATTGCACTAGAAGAAGCTCCATATTACTATTAACAAAACCACAACGTTTTATTGAAATTGATGAAAAGACAATTGAGAAATGAATAGAAAAAAGAGTTTTCATGGAAATATTAATACCCTGTATCTCGAAAAAGAAGTTCGGACACATGTTTATATGAACTTTATTTCCTGAAATATCACAAGGAATCTCCCCTTGAATTATTTCGGTGTTATTTAGATACAGCCTGTATAGTAGCTCTCTCCTCATCCTATAGGTGTGTATAATAAGTTTTGCGACATTCAAACTGAAAATAATGGGACCTTGAGAATAAGCCAAAATATTATACGCACTCAATTATGTAAAACTGAATATACACTACAAATGTTTGGTTAGCATTCGAAAAACAATGAAAAATTACCTGTTGGTAAAATAACTCTTGCGCAAGAAAATGTGTGATTTCCTTCTGGTCTAAGAACGCCATTTCGAATGAAAAAAAAAATAAAAATTCCACCGAGCGACCCGTTAATGTTTTAGTAAAGAAAAGAAAATTAATAAATAATCTCGTTTATCGAAAAATCGATAGTATTCGTTCGTTCGTTAAAAAAAATTGAAAGTCGAGCTCGCGACTTTTCCGAGGCCCGACCACTCAACAAATGAAAATCGGCAGGCGGCGATTTTCGTTTGGAGCTTTATTTAGACGGCAAACTGCGCAATCGCAAGAAACTAAGTAGCCGAATGCTGTTATTTATAAATTTATATAAGAACGTGTATCGCGTATAATAGTGCTTCCTACCGAAATTATATTATTGCTAAGATCGTTGCGGGAAATACCGGGCTATTATTAGATCTCGAACGGCAAGTGGCAAGAACACTCTGTAGATATCGATATTACAAAGGACATGAGGCGGAGAACAGGTCAGTGAGGTACTCCGTACAACGACCTGTCATCACGTTGGCGGAACACGAAAAACAAACAAATACAAAAATAAGGACCAAAATATCGCCGTGTTGATGGAAAATTTGCATTCTTTTTTATTGAAATATTCATCAGGCTGACATCAAAATAAATATCGATATTACAAAGGACATGAGGCAGAGAAAAGGTCAGTGAGGTACACCGTACAACGATCTGTCATCACGTTAAGGCGGAGCACGAAAAAAAAAATACGGCTCGAAGGACCAAAATATCGCAGTGTCGATCGAAAATTCACGTTTTTATTGTTTTTAGACAATGAAAACTGAAAAGTAGAAGTAAAGGAAAATACATATTTGTGTGATAATCAGCTGTTATTGAAAATGAAAATCATGAGAATATGACATATGAGATAGAGGTCTAGATAGTAGATTATGTCGGTGGTTTGGCAGGCTAGTTCTAGTATTGGACACCATGTATATGAAATTGCTAGGTCATGATATAACTCAAATATTTTTTCATTTTGATCACTAAAAGTACAAAACAATTTTTTTCACGGATTCACAATCGAACGTAATGTTGATCAGAATCAGTGTCTAGTCGTCTAGAAGTCAATATTTTGATATTTTGCACGAAAAGATAACCAAGATATTAATAATCGTGTTTTTCCTTATTCGCCTTGTGCATGGTTCTAATCCCGTTTCAGTGAACAATTGTATTTCATTATTTTCAAATAAGTTTACAATTGCAAACCGTTTTCTCCTTATTCATTGCTCTGTACATTGTTTAAATAAGTTTATTGAAATCTACGATATTCATGGAAAACGGTGGAAAACGTAAAAGTTGAGTGAATGAAATACACTGACTTACGTATCCATTCTCTATTTCAGTCAGAGAAAGCAGAAATATTTCCGATTGTTCTTCAGCATATGAATTTTTCAGTAAAGACATTTTGACATAGCCTATATTTTCCGATCTTCATGCATTGTTTATGGCGGTCTTTTTGACTCTTGTGAAGAAAAAAACTTGCTTGTCTTGTTCAGAATGTTTTGTGTCTCACTCATTTTGATTGCTACTGATATTTGTTTGGCAATTATCATGCTTCGACTATAGATATGAATATGAAAGCAGGAAGTTGTTTCCGAGGATGTTTCGTACCTATTCGCAACAATAACTACAACTAACATGGTATTGTTGATGAGATCTTTTTGAATCCTAATTTTAGCACTCAGGAAAACTTTGAGAAGATTACAGAATTCGAGACAGAATTCCAATGATATGAATGAAGGAAAGTGGGCCAGGTAGCCCCGAGGTAGAGACGTTAGTCATGAACTTGTCGGTAGTGGGTTCAAATCCCCGACTGTAGAAATTTTTCTGATGGCCCAAGAAAGTGTTTGGGATCACACGTTAAAAAGTAAGGCCCCA